TTTGACGAACGAATCTAACAATTAACTCTCAATAAATGTATTATATTATCAGAGACCTCTGTAAGTTTCATTTTAAATTTGTACTTTGTCGTACTTATGGAAAATCTAACAATATAAAATTGCACGGAAATGTGAAAAGTTATATAAAACATCCAGTATAGGCTGCACATTGGCTTTAGAAATCGCCTCGAGGAATTCATGGTCGTTCTTTCGATAATCACGAGAAATTCAATTTCTATCATGAGACCGAACAGTCTCTGTTCAGTCATCGACTTTGAAACAATCTGTCAAGCGTTAGATACATGTATCTCACGCGTCGAAGACTTTTCGATGAAAATTACGTACAAAGAAGTTTCTACGAGGATCCAATCCTTCAATCGACCGATTCAATTATCCACCGTTCCAGGGGTTAAATGAAATTGTTCATTGTCCAGGTTCGACGTGGCTGTTCTGCGATTAGATCGTCCAGTTCATTACATGCCTCACATAGCGCCGATCTGTTTGCCTGAGAAGAACGAAGACTTTCTAGGACAGTATGGATGGGCTGCAGGATGGGGAGCGTTGCAGGCTGGTAAATACATATACCTGAAACTGATTAGCAGACTGATTTCGCGTACTGAGCTTTCTTGAACCGAATAGGATCGAGACTACGCCCGAAGACTCTTCAGGCGGTGGACGTACCTGTGATAGATAATCGAATCTGCGAGAGGTGGCACCGGTCCAATGGGATTAACGTTGTGATTTATGACGAGATGATGTGCGCCGGCTATCGTGGAGGTGGCAAGGACTCCTGCCAAGTGAGTTTAATTTGGCATAAAGTTACTAAGGAACTTCTACAAGTGGAGATGATAAAATTAGTAGAGAGTGGAAATAGGATATGGGGCGTAAAATTAGTCGAGAGTTTAAAAGTTTACAGCGTCGTAAAGTGCAAAAATATGTACTTCCGAGATGTTTATGCAGGGATGGGGAAACCTTTCTCAGGAAATCGTACGATGACGAATTGGGGGACTGTTTCTCTCCAAAGAATGGATCTTAATTCTTAACTATTATAGACGTTAATTATAACAGATAACAATAATAATAAAAATTATATAGATTCTAATTTTTAACAATGTTTTCTGAATTTCAAAAATTTTTTTGTTATCATACATATAGTAATTCGCAAAGTATCTAGAATTTAATTCTGATGACCAGTGATGGTGTTAAGCAAGAACTAACAGAGAAATGGAAGGAAAGAACTTTCTTCACGCTTTCACAGAGCTTCTACAAGTAGAGTTTTCTCCCGACAAGACGAAACATTCGTAACTCGAATTCTCTCCTTTCCCGTGAGATTCGAGTGACCAATATTCGATTGTCAACAACGTTTAACGCGTAACATGTTTCATAAATACTTTAAAATTAATAACAAATTTAATTGACAAAAATAACAACATGTTTAATAAATATACTTTTATGCTATGATCTGCAGGGTGACAGCGGTGGGCCACTGATGCTAGAGAAAACAGGACGATGGTACCTAATAGGTATCGTCTCAGCAGGTTACTCGTGTGCACAGCCAGGCCAGCCAGGAATCTATCATCGCGTAGCTAAAACAGTCGATTGGATAACCTACGTGATCAATTCGTAGCGAAACAAGTCATAAGAAGCATAGAGATCGTTCTCTGTAAAAACTTTGCATGAAACAAAGTTTACCGGATAGAATCAATGACAAATTCGCAACTGGCTGGCAAACGATATCGAGGATCTAGCAGCTGTGTGTGACTGGCGAATCTCGACGATTCTACGCTCGAGGAATGTGATACACAGTGACGAGATAATGTTCAATGTTAGGGACAGAGTTGTCCATCTCTTCGAGAGACGAGAGAATCGTTAACGTGTAATACCATGTAACTTTCTAATCTAAATAAGGTGATGCGTGGAAATTCTGGTAACTTACAACTCGCGCCCAGTGACGTTTTCCTTTCGTCGACTCTGTGAATTTAGTTTAGAGGAAAAGACACATCTTATGTTGGGCGTGTGGTGTGAACTGTAACGACGTGGATATCTTGTAAATTAAGTGCGTGTGATATTCGTTTATTATCGCGCTTAATAAACGTTTGATCTTTTTTTTTTTCAATTTTACCTTCGGTTTAATTTAGACGGACCATTTTTGAACCTCATTACAAGTACAAAATGAATAATCACGCCACAAGCTTAATGACAAAGTAAATTTCATTCTGAAATTTTCTTGTATACTTGATGACATCGAGCACGATTCCAAGTTTATTGAATCTTTTCGAGTCTTGATTAATGCAGAGAATCTTGAAAGTCTTGATTTTGAATGTCTTCAGTATTCAGTATCATATAATACTTATACATATTATTATTGACTACTTTCTTTAACATTTTACATTAAAATATTATATACATTTATCCTTTTATTTTAAATTGTTATATCATTGATATAAAATATTAAAGAACAGTTCAGAAAATTCGAGTTATTACATACAGTTATTATATACATTTATTTACGTTAGTCACAGCTTGTAATATACATTACGAATGTGAATATCTGAATAAATAAATCATAAATATATTTATAATTATTCCCGGACATAAGTATCGTTGATATAATATATCAAAGAAAATCTAAAAAGTTTAAGGGATGTGATATTTATACATTTACATATTTATTTTTATTCATCTTTATAATACACATTACGCACGTGGAAAATAGAAAAAAAATTGCTTGCAACATATCGAATATTTATCATTTGTTAAAACCTTCAAGGTTTTTGAAACTTCAAGACTAATTAAGATTTTCATCTTTTCGAAAGCGAGTTTCCGTATTAATTCACGACCATAAGCAACCATTACAACTTTGTGCTCGCGATGTGTTTCTAAAAATGGTCCGTCTGAGGAAAACCTCTGTCTGTTCATTTTTTTTTTTTTTTGTTTTAAATGGGTGGGACGAAAGAACAAGGCTTTTACATTAAAAACATACTTTGTTATTCGACAACCGCTATAACTCAACGCAAGCTTAGCGTCGCAAATAGTAGAACAACGCGCTTAAGTATGTATAATTCTCCACTGCGTAGATAAGTACACATTTATCTCGTTATTCGTTTTAACAATAAGTATCCGCGACAACGAGCGTCGAATTTCTGCGTTCGCGGGATCGCGATCCTCGAAGTTCCATTAAGTAAGACTATCTTGGGATAAACTA